AAGGGAAAAGAAGAAACAGAATACCACCAGATATGGAATAAATGGTATAGGTGGGTGGAGGAAAGAAACAAGGATCAATGAAGGAAGACAACAAAGCCCAAAAATAGTAGTTAAGGAGAATTAACACATATATATGTATCCAAGTGGTTGAAATTTACTAGAGGTAATCAGCCAATATAGCAGACAGATGAGTAAGATAAGAGGGTTAAGAATGGTGAAATGCAAATGAAATATAATAGAAGGGGAAACAATATAAGGTGAGCGATATCGATTGGCAATTGCTATTAGAAAGAACAGGAAGCTTCTGTTCGTATTGTATTGTGTAAATGTGGTGTACATCTAAGTTTTGTGTGTATTTTACATGTTTATAAATAAATTTTTTAAAAAAAGAAACGTGTGCCAAACTTAACAGGAAAAACTAGCTGGATTTGTTTATTCCTAAACCATCTAAGAAAAATCAGCCACAAATTATTATGTCAGGTCTGTGATCATATGGCCTCAGATCAACAAAACTTTCAAGGATGGCATGCATTCATGCATTTCATTCATAGCTAATCTGTTATCTAAAAATTTTGAATGAGAACAAACTCTTAATGCTTAAACAATAGGAACCATGAAATCTTGCCTAAAAATGATTACATAAGTGGTAGAAACATCTATAATGTTAGAACAAACTTTTAACAACCTGCCTCCATTGTTCAAAATTACTTATTCTCATTACAAATTACAGCCTAAATCATATAAATATAATAAATAAGTTACTGTATTTTTCGGAGTATAAGACACACCTTTTTCCCTCAAAAAAGAGGGTAAAAATCTGGGTGCGTCTTATACACTGAATACAACATTTTTGGTCTACCGAAACCTCGCCCCCTTTGCAAAAATGGACATGCAGAGGGTTTGGGAGGCTTGCAAAGTGCTCCGGAGGGCTGGGTTTTTGCTCATGTTCCCCCCCCCCCAGTCCCCAGGAGCACTCTACAAACCTCCCAAACCCTCTGCATGCCCCTTTTTTTGCAAAAAAAACCAAGTGTGCAGAGGGTTTGGAAGGCCTGAAGAGTGCAAAAACTTTTTTAAAAAAATTACCTCTTCAAAATCATGATGTGTCTTATACTCTGGTGCATCTTATATTCCAAAAAATATGGTATATGAAACAATGGAAGAAAATGAAATGTTTTCCAGAATTCCATAATAATGTGCATTGCATATGAGAACCATTTAAGTCAGAAGTGGTATTCAGCAGGTTCTGACCAGTTCTGGAGAACTGGTAGCAGAAATTTTGAGTAGTTCAGAGAACTGGTAAATACCACCTCTGACTGGTCCTGCCCACATCTATTCTCTGCCTCCTGAGTCTCAGTTGATTGGGAGGACATGAGGATTTTGCAGTAACCTTCCCCTGGAGTGAGGTGGGAATGGAGATTTTACACCCACCAAGCCATGTCCACCAAGCCTCATCATGGCCACCAAGCCATGCCCACAGAACCGTTGTAAAAAAAAAATGAATCCCACTACTGCACTTGGATAACCCAAGCATCCAAGTTGAGGAAGACCTGTTCCCTAATTTTCAAAGATTTAGAATTATTGTTCTTTTGCCAGGATCAGAATAATAATGATGGGTTTTACACTTAAGCAGTGATATGTTTTTGAGCTGAAAGGTTGGGCTGTAGTTTTCTGGTGTCCTGACCAGCAGCAAAACTTTTCCAGCTAGAAAACTAGATAACTGCCATTAGACCCAAAAGCTTATCACTGCTTAATTGATGGCAGGCATAAAAACATACACCACTATACAGGTTTATATTGCCTCAAGAAAGCTGGGTGACATTGTAAATTACTAGAGAGTGAATGGTCTTAATGAGTATGGGGCTTGCTTGCTTGCCTGCCTGCCCGCCTGCCCACCTGCCTGCTTGCTTTGTGGATCTCTTGATTTACTAGTGACATTTGTATTCGAATCAAGAGGTGATCAGATGCCTTATTATTTCATAAGGTAATATTACCTTAAGGTAATAATGTTAGAAGGGATATTTTTATGCAATCTGTCCTTCCTTCCCTCCCTCCCTCCTCCCTCTTTCTCTCTCTTTCTCTATTTATATCCTGAATATGTAAAACCCAACACAATATATGTACATGCTTGTAAACATGGTATTAGTATTTTTTATGACACAGTTTTTTATGCACACTAAACCTAGTGGGCATTTTTGTGCAGTATGAGAAAATAACCGTTTTAAAACTGTGAGAAGGAGCACTGCTTGTAGAAGCTGAAGAATATTCTTTTTTCTCAGATAAGTTATTAAATCATGATTTAGTCAAGTACTCACTGATTTGATTTGTAGACGAACTGTAAAAAGCATTCACTGTTGTTGGATTAACAAACCACCTGTTGAAAAAGAAAAAGAAAAGCAGATTTGGTGTTCTTATTCTATGAATCAGAGAAAATCTGTCACATTATGTCTATGTTCCCCCTGCCCCCAAATATCAAGTTCCTAGAAGTGGGGGAGGGTCATTGCTCTTTTTGGCTAAATTTGGATCTCCCTCAATATTTAAACTACAATTGCAGAGCCTGCCATTCAAAGCCACAGCAGGCACCTTATTATTCTGTGTGCTAAGAAAATCAGGATCCAACTATGTAGCAAAGGATGAAGATTAATAATCTGTAAAAGTGGTTCAAATAGTAGTCCTCAATCTATAAGTGTTCATTTAACAACCATTCAAATTACAATGCCCTTAGAAAACGTCACTTATGACCTGTATTTACACCTACAGCCATTATACCACCCTCGTAATATGATTGAAATTTGGGAACTTGACAACCTGACCATATTTCTGATCAATTGTAGCCTCCTGCAGTCACATGGTTTGATTTGCAACATTTTTTCCTGATGTCCAGAAGAAAAAAAAACCTGCCTTTGGGGGAAACTAGATTCACTTAACAAAAGCAGTGATTCATTTAACACACCATAAAAATTATGATAAAATTGGATCTGGCCCAACTTACAACTTTAATGACTTACAATGGCAATTTTGATCCAAATTGTGGTCATAAGTCAAGGACTACTTGTACAATGGAGTAGGTATCTTACATCCTTGATCAAGCAGGTATCCTATATTTGACATTATAGCTAAGGGACATACAGTAAGCTTCCCTTTTTCAAATGAAATTTTAGAAAATGCATTAAGTATGGATATCAAAATATCAAAATTATAGGATTTATGCGATTAGACAACATTCCCTTTGTATTCACCATTTTATCAGGTTTTTAAAAATAAATCATTAAATATACTTGTGTAGTATTATTTAATTTTATACAGTGATACAATATAACAATTATTTTTATTATTCATTCTATATTTTAAATATCAGTAATATACACAAGGCTGAGAATCACTGAATTGATATCTATTTAGTTATAATCCAACAAACTTTATTTAGCAGGCATGCTTTGCCTTCCTACCCTGCACCCTTCTGGAAAACATTTTCTAATAAAATGATAAGATGGAAGATATTTCTGTAAGAGAGTAGAAGATGAGTGACATCCAGGCTGAGGAATCAGGAGAAAACATTTAGCAAGTTTGCCTCATTTCGATTTCAGAGTCATTTACAGCAGCAACCATATACACTAATCTGAAAAGAAGTCCCACAGATGCTTTAAAAGAAGTGGCCTTAACTAGGATAACATTGAATGCCTTTTTGGAATGACCTAGAGTGGCACTAGGTCATTTTTATTGGAAATCTAAAATGTCATTGCACATTCCAAGTCTCCACAATGATTGCAACCTTTAGCATCATCTCTTAATCTTATTTTTTCAATTGTCTCAGAGCTTGCTTTCAGTAAGTTCTAACCTACAGACCTCCACCAGCCTTAACCCAAAGATATCAAAGCTATATCCATAAGTTTTACAATCACTTAAGATAGATAAATATTTAGTATGCTTCTTAAAAAGTATAAACTTTTATAAATGTTTATTGTTTGAGAGTAACATGTTTTAATTTTCTATACATTTATATTACCTATACAAAAATGTCCACCAGACCCTTCATTACTGTACAGAGGTTATAGCTTTGCAAGAGAAAATTAATGCCAATAAAATTTCCCATATGCAAATACAAAACCAATAAAGAGCATCATATTGATACCGGTGTTGGTGATAAGAGGTGACTTTTCTTGTTCTTCCACACACTGATATAAACACATGAGGATGGAATGAAGCTGCCCTAAATAATTCCATTACATAATCCAGAGTCCCAAACATTTGTTAGATTTGTATGTACCATACAAATACTTCAGGAAAGATTCCCTTTATAGATTCCCCTTTTGTTATGTTCAGATATTTAAATTGGGTATTAAATACAGTCTGCACATATTCCATATGGACACCAGATGGCAATAAAAGCTAGAGTAGTCTTGTTTTCTTCCTGCCATCTACTGGTTATCCAGTAGATTTCAGAGATCAGATTTTTCATGCTTCTCTAAATAACTGGAAAATTGTAGAATAATAATGTAGGGCTTGCTTTTTAAATACAGGTTATTGGCTAATTACAGAACAGTTTGTAAAAAAAGGATTATTTATGTGGCTTTGCTGTAACATATCTTTCCAGGCTATCCTTTATTGCAGAATTCTAAGTTAAGCAGAAAATTCACCTACAGTAAATTTAAAATCTGTAAATATTGAAAAATCTTTACAACTTACCACTAGCTTCCCAAAAAGTTCTAAAATTCTTCCTGCAATTTAATGTCTCAGGACAGTGTCATTCAATCCTTCTCATTTTATTTGTTTGTTTGTTTACAAGATTTAAAGGCCACCTAACACCAGAATAACTCTGGGCATCATACATTAAGAATAGAAAGCAATACCAATATGTATGTCTATGTACATTTGACCTCTTCCCTGTCTGGGAAAGTTCATAGATTAGTCCAAAACTACTAATGGGCATTTGTCCTGGCCTAATGGAGGATTTCATAGCCAGTTAAATGGTAGAAAATGGAAGATACTCAGCCATACTATCTGGGATGGGGCTATAGGAATATTTTGAAGATTTCACCGTAGGAAATTACAGTTTGAGTTAGTATTCTGGATAAAAAAACTGTTATTGCAATGCTTGTCGACTTTGGAATTAAAGCTTTAGCCCCTTCTGAGATATCTATAAGGCTGACTATTACAAATAAATGAGCTTTATTTTTATGTTTGGATGAATAAAATGGGTTACCGTATCCCCAGATTTGAATGGTCTGTATTATCAGACTCTGAAAACCTTGATTCCTGACCTATGTAAAATGAAAGGCATGTGTATAAAATATATGTATTTAAATTGAAGTGATTTAGTCATTATTAATTTGTCTACCATATTTCAATAGGTTATTTTACATTTAAATTGAATATACATGTCAGCTTACCATGGTTTGCCTGCATGTTTCATATTAGTTAAATCATAGTAATTTTAAAATGACTGAGCTTTCACTATTCCAATGTTTCAAGTCTTCAACATCAGAAGACATAATTTTATTTCATTATATTTTCATAATGGTCTTAATTAGCTCTCCTTAGCATTCTCTGTCTTTTGAAGGGAAAGTCATTGTGAAGTAATGGTTTCACAGTAGTCCAGGAAAATCCAAATCTGTGGAATCTTGGGGGTGGGGGGTGGGATTGATGAAAGTTTCAAAGTTTGAAAGTTTAATAACACTTGTATGCTGCCCAATCCCGTAGGACTCCAGGGGGCTCACAATACAAATAAATCAAAAGGCATAGAAAAAAAGAAAAGATAGACTTAAAAACACAAGGCCATTACATTGTTGTAACACAAGCCCTGCTATTTTCTATATCTATCACTGCATGATAAATTAGAGCAGGGGTGTCAAACTCAAGGCTCATGGGTTAGATCTGGCCCATGATGTGGTTAGATCTGGCCCATAGTGCCGCCCTGGAAATAACAAAGGACCAATCCACAGAACCTAACCTCAGCCAGCCCAGGCTGATCAGGCACTGATCTACAACCTGGTAGCAGCCATCCAGGCTGGAACATGGTCAGCATTAGATCTGCAAAGCCAGCCTGGAGCCAATGAGGGCCTGCTCCTGCCCCGTCCCCTAGGCACACGCACAGGAGGTTTGGCATCCCTGGGTACCATCTTGACCCACACACTGACTGCATTCTCAGCCCTTCCCTTTCACCCAGGATGCCAGCACTTGCCACCTCCTGTGCACACACCCAAGGGTGGGGCTGAGGCAGCGAGGTGGTCTCTCGCTGGCCCCAGGGCAGCTGTGTGGGTCAGATCTAAGGCTGACCAGGTTCAGGCCTGAATGGCTGCCATAAGCTGTAGATCAGCACCCAGTTGGCCGAGGTGACGTAGGCCGGTCCTTTACTGTTTCCAGGGTGGCCCCATGGGCCAGGGTAAGAGTATGGCAGTACGATCAGTGGCTGTGATGCCAGTGGCCATGGTTTTCCCATGCGGGGGTTGGGGCAGTCCCAAAGAAAAGGAAGCCTCACTGGCTGTGAGGCCAAGCTCAGAAAGGGGTGAGGGAAGGGGGAGGGACTGGCAGCACTTCCTTTTTACTGGGACATTCCTCACCCAGTTGGAAAGCTTGTGCCTGGCATCTGCCCCTGGCTCCCACAGGCTTCCACATCCTTTGAATCCACCAGGCAGGAGTTCCACCAGCAAAGCTGGTCGGGTTTCCTGATCTGTAGATGGAGGAAAGGGTGCCAGAGCCTCGCCTCATGCCCTGCGATCTGAGGTAGGGTCTATGGACAGTGCTTGGCCATCTCGTTATCATGCAAATGCCCTTTGGCCAGATCTGGTACAAGCCTCAGTTTGCAGAGAACAGAGGCCTAAACTACTGTAGCATGAAATCAGTAGTG